TATTGTTTTGTTCTCTTGCATCTGTCCAGTTTTTCCAACACCATTTATATAAGAGACTGTCCTTTCCCCACTGTATATTCTTTGTTGCAATTTAATCTTCCATACTTGTCTGGGTTTATTTCTGGATTCTCCCTTCTGGATTCTCCCTTGTGTTTTATACCAATACCATACTGTTTAATTATAATAGCATTAATAATAGAGTTTGAAATCAGAAAGTGTTATGCCTTCAGCTTTGTTCTTCTTTCTCAAGATTGCTCTGGCTATTCAGGATATTTTACGGTTCCATATAAATTTTAGGATTGTTTGTTCTATTTCTGTGAAAAAGATCCTTAAAATTTTGATGAATATTGCACCGAATCTGTAGAGTGCTGTGGGTAGTATGGACTGTTTAACAATATTACATTTTCCAATCCATGAGCACAAAGTGTTTTTCCACTTATTTGTGTTGTCAGTTCCTTTCATCAGTCTTACAGTTTTTATTATATAGGTCTTTCACTTCTTTGGTTAAATTTATTTCTAGGTATTTTATTCTTTTTTACTGCAGTTATAAATGGGATTTTCTTAATTTCTCTTTCTGTTCTTCATTAGTGTATAGAGACACAACAACTTTTTGTACATTGATTTTTGTATCCTGCAACTAAATATAATTTTTTTATTTTAATAGTTTTTTGGTGGAGCCTTTAGGGATACACACACACACACACGCACACGCATACATCTGCAAATAGTGACAGTTTTACTTTTTTCCTTTCAAATTAGTATGCCTTTTATTTATTTTTTCCTGCCTAACTGCTCTGGCCAGGATTTCTAATACTAGGTTGAATAAAAGTGGTGAGAGTGAGCATCTTCGTTTTGTTACTGATCCTAAGGGAAAAGCTTCATCTTGTCACCAATGAGTATGAGGTTAGGTGTGGACTTGTCATATATGGCTTTCTTTGTGTTATGTTTCTTCTATACCCATTTTTTAAAAAAAATCATAAATGAATGTTGAATTGTGTCAAATGCTTTTTCTGTATCTATTGAGATGATCATATGATTTTTAGCCTTCACTTTGGTAATGTGGTGAATCACACTGATTTGCTCGAACTGAGCCATGCTTGCATTCTGGAATAAATCCCACTTGATCATGATGTATGATCATATTAATGTATTATTGAATTTGGTTTGCTGATATTTTTTAAAAATATTTTTAAACTGAGTTTTAGAGAGAGGGGAAGAGAGAGAGAGAGAGAGAGAGAGAGAAACATTGATGGGAGAGAAACATCAATCAGCTACCTCCTGCATGCCCTGCACTGGGGATGGAGCCTGCAACCCGGGCATGTGCCCTGTATAGGAATCGAACTGAGACCTCTCAGTCCATAGAACAACACTCAATCCACTGAGCCACACTGGCTGGGCAGCTTGCTAATATTTAAAAAAATTTTTTTTTTTTTACCCTCACCTGAGGACATTTTTCCATTTCTTGTTCAGATAGAGTGGGAGGGAGAGAGAGAGAAAAACATCGATGTGAAAGGGACAGATTGAGTGGCCGCTACCGGCACAACCAAACCGGGGTTGGGGACAAACCACAACCGAGGCACATGCCCTTAGCAGGAACTGAACCCGGGTCTCTCAGGACTGCAGGCTGATGCTCTAACTGCTGAGCCAAACTGGCCAGGGCCAGCTTGCTGATATTTTTAATTGAGGATTTTTGCACCTATGTTTATCAGGGATCTTGGCCTCTAGTTTTCTTGTGGTGAGCTTGTCTGGTTTTGGTATCAGTGCAATGTTGTTTATAATGAGTTTGGAAGTGTTCCCTCCTCTTCTGTTTTTTTGGAAGAGTTTGAGAAGGGTTAGGATTGTTTAGAATTCAGCAGTGAAGCTATATGGTCCAGACTTTTGTTTGTTGAGAGGTTTTTTTGTTTGTTTGTTTTTAATTACCGATTCAATCTCTAATAAGTTTGTTTAGATTTTCCTTTTCTTCTTGATTCAGTCTTGATAAGTTGTATGTTTCTAGGAATTTATCCAGTTCTTGTAGGTTATGCAATTTGTTGGCATATAATTGTTCATGGTTGTCTCTTAAGATCCTTTGCATTTCTATGGTACAGTTGTACAGTTTCCTCTTTCATTTCTGATTTTGAGTCCTTTCTTTTATTCTTGGTGAATACAGCTAAAGGTTTGTCTATTTTGTTTCTATTTTCAAAATAATAGCTATTAGTTTTATTGCTTTTAAATGGTCGTTTTAGTCTCTGATTTATTTCTGCTCTGATCTTTGTTATTTCCTTTCTTATACTAATTTGGGCTTTGTTTTTTTTCTAGTTCCTTGAAGTGTGAAGTTAGGTTGATCATTTGAGATCTTTCTTGTTTCTTAATGTCGGCATTTCCCTCTGTGAACTCCCCTCTCAGAGCTCCTTCAGTTGCATCCCTTAGTTTGGGTGTTATATTTACATTTTCATTTGTCTCAAGGTTTTTTTCTTAATTTCTTTTTTGATTTCTTCTTTGACTCATTGGTTGTTCAGTAGCATGTTGTTTAATCTTCACATATTTGTGAATTTTTATTTTCTTGTAATTGAACTCTAATTTCATATCATTGTGGTTGCAAAAGATGCTTGATATGATTTCAGTCTTCTTAAATTTATTAAGACTTGTTTTGGGGCCTAAGATATGATCTAGCCTGAAGAATGTTTCACATGTGCCTGAGAAAAATGTGTATTATGTTGCTTTTGAATGAAATGTTCTATGTATCTGTTAAGTCTATTTGATCTAATGTTCCATGTAAGACCACTGTTTCCTTATTGATTTTTCTCACTGAATGATCTATCCATTGATGAAAATGGGGTATTAAAGCTCCCTACTGTTACTGTACTGCTATTTCTTCTTTTAGGTCTGTTAATATTTGCTTTATATATTTAGGTGCCTCTATGTTGGGTGCATACTTATTTATAAATGTTCTATGCTCTTGGGTTCACACCTTTATCATTATGAATGCCCTTCTTGTCTCTTATCACTCCTGAGGACTCCAGCCAACCCAGTGTGAAGTTAGGTTGTACAACATATCTAGGAGTCAGCAAGTAATCAGAACCTAATTTAGAATCGCAGAGAGGTTAAGAAAATAATTATCAACATACAAAATTGTAGGCCTAAGTATGTACAAAATATTCACAGTGGCTTCAAAATATTCCTGTGCTTCCACAGAGGTTGTCCTTTCCAGAATAAAGGAAGAACTGAGGAAGGAACGAGCATTTTGGAAGCAAGTCCGGTGTACTCCATTCTAACTACAGCACATCGTATTTACCTGTGTTGTGATGAGGGTAGGCATTATTCCACTTGTGTTTTTTTTTTTTTTAATCCTCATCCGAGGACATTTTTCCATTTCTTGTACAGACAGAGTGGGAGGGAGAGAGAGGAAGAGAGAGAGGGAAACATCGATGTGAAGGGACACATCGAGTGGCTGCCACCCGCACGACCAACCAGGGCCGGGGACAAACTGCAACCAAGGTACATGCCCTTAGCGGTAACCGAACCCGGGTCTCTCCGGACCGCAGGCGGACGCTCTAACCGCTGAGCCAAACCGGCCAGGGCTCCACTTGTTATACCTGAGGAAACGGAGGCTCCAAACAGTGGTTACCAAGGCCTAGTAATGACAGAAAGACTGCCCAGTGACTCTGATCGAATGAACGTAGTTTCTCTACACCTGCTTCCTCATCTGTACCATGGACTGCACCATCCACTCTGCAGAGGGTTAAAGGAAATGACATGTGTGTATCCAGGTCCTGGCTGAGCACGAAGGCCACCAAAGACGACGGGCTATTCTAGAGGCAGCCCGAGGGGCCGGAGAGGACAGGGCAGACAGCGAGAGGCTCTTGACGGGAAGGGTGGCAGGTATACGGGTGAGGTGTGGAAGGGGCTCTGTAGTCAGTCGCCTGAGCTGAGGCCTGGTTCAGCCCTGGCCTCGTGTGACTGCACGGTCACCTCAGTTACCCTGTCTAAGCTTTTGTCCCTCAGCTGGAGACGGAGAGCAGGAGGGACGTACCTTGGGGAGCATGGGGATCAAGTGAGATCTCAGGATTCCTTCCCCACTGCGCTCTGGAGGAGCTTTCCAAGTTCTCTCTCTAAAAAATCGGAACAATTTACTCAAGATTGTCATAAGTAAATGCACACATATTGTTTTGGCAGATATTAAATTATTTTAAAAATCCATCCACTATTTCAGAGCTATCAAACTTCTTGAAAAGTTTTACATTTGAAGTTTCTACTTCCTCCGTGTTGACTCCTCACCCCACTATCATGTGGTTAATGCGTTTCCCACTCTAATGAGACAGCTTTCAAATTCCCCAGTAATCTCTTAATTACCTCCGGCTTCCTAACATCCAGTGTCTCCTGTCTTCACCGTTGCCAGTGGCCTGGAAGTCATTCTTTCTGGAGGAGTTAGAAGGTGGAGGGGCCCCTCCCTCCTCAGTTCTCTAAAGAAGGAGCTAGAACTCTCCTCTGTGATCCTTAAAAAGCCTCCACACTTGAGCTCCTCAGGTTGTCCCTGTAACTTCTGAGCATCCCAAGAGCCCACTTGGAAGGGAAAGTGGGCCGGCCCAGAGTCACTGAAACAGAACCACTCTGAGGAGGCCAAGGGTCTTGCTGTTTTAACAATTGTTTTCAGTAGAAACTGGCTGGCAAACTCCACACACACAGTTGAGCAGGAATTGGTGGAAAACAACTCGGAGGAAGTACAGCTGTTCCCTCTGAGGAGCGCGCACAGGGGAAGCCGGGCTAGGCCGGGGGTGTTCCCGGGGGTGACATACCGCATTCCTTTCACTTGAGGCAGTGAGCCGAGGAGCTGCAGGCCCCTGGGGAATATGACATAAACTTAGCCGGGAAGGGCCGCCCGAACGGACCTGCGTCCATGCGTCCGTCTGGACGAGAAGCCCCGCCCGTCCTGCCCGGAGAGCGAGGACTCCAGGGCAGCAGGGGCTCAAGTGCCACCCGCTCCGGCCAGACAAACAGCCCAAAGCCAGCAATCTCCTCGATGTGTTTATATTTACACGGTACATTTGAAAGCAATGGCTACATTGGTCATACATATTAGAAACCATAAAAAAAAGTTAAGAACTTAAAATGTACATCATACACTTGTATATATATTTTTTACACAGAGGTAAAAAGGGTTATAAAAAATCAGCACAACAGGGATTTTAGTATACAGGTAACGAATGAATTATGCTTCAGGCACTTTGTTAATGTGAGCAAATAGCTTGGGGGGTCGGGGGAACTTCCGAACAGACAATCTTTTGGTTAATGTTTTGTTACCACAGATACAAAAATAAAATCTGAATAATTTCTCTCAAATGATTGACGTCAGTATGGCAAAGCTGACTGGGAAAATACTACACACTGTTCAGCTGCAGTGTGGCAATTAGAGACGTATTTACATAAATGTCCCCATGGCTGTCCTTGTGCCCTTAACCGCTGCCTTCACAAACCAAAAGTCCGCGCGGAGTCAGGTTCCCTAGCCTAACTCTTCAGAGGGGGCCGGACGAGGGGCTGAAGGAAGGTGGGAACAGACAACTGAACGGACGAACAAAAAGCGCTGGGATGTGTATTCTTACTGAAATAAATAGGGGCACTTGAACTGAGGTCTAACAGAACAGACATTAGTGTTGTGCTTTGTAGAGAGGAGACCTGGAAAGACCTTGAGGAAGAACCTGGGGTGGGGAGGCGGTCTCTCCACAGCACAGGCTGGAGCTGGCGGAGGTTTTCTAGAGGTTCTCCAGGCTGGGAAGCGGCTCTTTTCTCCCATCACCAGGCTGACAGCTCTCTGCCCCTTTTCCAGGTGGAGAGCCCCAAACCAGTCACTCCAACAAATGAAAACGTCTACCAACTAACTCCTAAGCACAGTGGGTATTTACACTGAAGATTCTGGCGAAAGAAACGTGACAGGCTCTCAGCGGGCGGAAAACATGCCACGAAGGTGAGCGCGGCTGGCGCCTTCGCGGCACGACTGGAAAAAAGCCCCTTTCTTTGAAGACCGATGTCCTGTGTGCAACGGAGAAAGGGTCAGGGAAGCAGGGAGGGATCAGGCCAGGCCCTCAGCTGGCAGGTACCACGGGGTCACGGGGGAGAGCCGCCAGTGCTGCCGAGCCTGTGCCCAGGTTCTCCGCCACGCTTTGATTGTACTCGGCTAGGTATGGGTAAACCTGTCTCCACCGCTCCTCCTGCCCTCAGAGTTGGCTCTGCCGTGCAACAGGCTGGAGAATTCTCTCCCCCAGCTACTGCGCAGCCGCCCACGCGGCAAGGCGGCAGCAGGCCCCGCCTGCGGACTCAGCCGTGTGTGCGCAGAGGCGAGTCTGGGTGCGGAGCTGCGGGAGAAAGACACTTAGGCATCGGAAGGGTTTTTACATATGGCCTTGTTTTCCCAAGTATAAATGAAAGGTTTGGTGACGTGAAATTGAGTTCAAACGGAAAACAAAAACACAAACCCATGAACGAAATGCAACCCACAACTCCTCAAATTTGTGACATTTGAAATTTCCCCGGTTACTAGAACATACCCACTGGGGGAGGGGCAGCTCCTACAGTTTTATTTACCAGAACCTTAGTGTTTCTCAACACCGGTTTGTGTTTGATTTCCAAAACAATGAACAAAATTTCTTACTGTGTTAGTATTTTCTTCCAATATTGCTAAATTTTTGGAAGTGGTGGTGTCACAATTTTAAAAAGTTCTACCTTAGGGGTCACTGGGGAGGCTCAGAGATCTGAAATCCCCTTTCTAGCCCTGGCCCGAGAGGATGCAATGCAGTTTAAGGAATTTTCCTGATTCTCACAAGTTAATCTACGTTAAGGCTCAATTCTCAGTCATTTTACAGGTGAATGTTTTGCATCGTGAAGAACTAGCAGATTTCGGGGGTGGGGGGCGCCAGAAAATAATGATGGGTTCAAGATAGAAACTGCAGCTTACATGGGGAATTTGGCTTTAGAAAAGTTAAAGCAATCCTGTTTTGTGGTACAAGTGTGTTAACTAGCTCGCCTCCTAGACGTAATAACTAACTGCAGGTTAAGATACTTCTGCCTGGGCCTCATCATGCCGATGTCACACTCCTGCGGGAACCCAGTGATGCTCCTCAGCACCAGGCTAGCTGGGCCAAGAGAAAGAGTCTTCAATGCTCTTGGGAAAACCAACGACAAAACCCACCCCCAAAATCAGCAGTTCTGATCGCAGGCGCCTTTGAACTGGAAGAGGTGGGGAGGAAAGGCAGGAAATCAACACAGGTATAAGACAGCTGATTACAGATCGTTACTACACGAGAATCGGGGCGGAAGTTCCTTTCTCGGGAACACGGCGGGCGCGCAGGGCGGGATGGGTGGCTGGGGTGCAGGGTCCACCGGGCAGGTTCCCAGGCTGGAATGGGGGGGCATGGAGTCACACGGCCGCTTTGTGCTTCCCCCCACAGCACCTGCACATCACTCCACAGTGGTAGCAGGCCCGAAGGGGCAGGTAACAGCACATACAGGGGGCGAAGAAAGACAAGGCAATAAGAGCCATCCACCGGAGGCAAAACTTCTCGTCGCTAGTGTCGCACGAGCACGGGTCTGTATAGTCGCCCTCGGGGTCCGACATACAGTGATAGAGCATGCTGTCCGCACACCACATACAGCTCACCCGGCGGATGCAAGTTCTCACGGAGTCGGGCGCGTCCTGGCAGTGGCCCCGCCGGTTCTCCTCGTGGTTGAACATGTCCCTGCAGTACTCGCACCGGGAGCGCTCCCCATCCTCCTTCCGCCGCCGGGACTTGCCCCGCGAGGGCTGGTTCTTGATCACACCGCCCCCGCGCCCTTTGGGGTCCTCGCCGAGGCCAAAGTCTGAGGAGTCCACGTAGGGGTAGTTGTAGTCGTGCTTGGGGACCTCGCCCTTGGCGAAGCGCACGTAGGAGTCCGCGTCCTCCGAGGGGTCCAGGTGCTTGCCCCTCACCGGCGCGTGCCGGTAGTCCTCGTAGCCCGTCATCCAGATCTTCTCCCGGGGGTTGATGCGCACGATCTCCTCGTCGTCGTCCGGGAAGCTCACCTGGCGGTAGGGCCTTGGCATCGGCTGCCCCAGGAGAAAAGAGCCAGTATTTACAACAGTGGAAAAGAAAATATTCAGTATGCACCTCTCACCTTGACAAAGGCCTTTCTTGAAGAAGCTGACCCGCCCTGTAATTACTGAACACCTCGTGGGTCAAAGATGTATTTCAAATTGTGAGTCTCAATCCATTCCTGGGTCAGGAAATCAATTCACTGGGTCGAGACCAGCTTTTGCCCCCGTTTGTGTTGAAAGATTACCACATATGCGGAAAAGTGTGCAGATTGCAAGAAGAGACTTTGAAACAGACCAATACTAGAGTGCACTGCATGCTATAGGGTATTTTCATTATCTGTGTATATACAATACGTGGGTTCTGGGTCACCATATAAAATGCATTTCTCACTGTGAGTCATGTTCAAAAAGCAAAACGGGGACACCAGGAACTATAAGGCTCACTAGAACCTTGTAATCTGGTTGGGAAGATGCCCAGATCAGAAAAGGGTAGGAATGCAGACTCCAGAGGCCGGCTGCTTGGGTTCAAATCCTGCCAGGATCTCTGAGATACTGAGGGGGAGAGCTGGGATCCAGAGCCACACGCTCCAGCCTTCAAACACCTCCGAATTCGCCGGGAGGGTGAGGGGTGGCTCTGAGGCCGCTCTGCCTCCTTCCAAACGTGCCCTGTGCAGCACAGCAGGTGCTGCCTGGATGCAGGTAAGCCTGCCCTGCACAGGGCATCTCAGTGCTGGCAGAGAATGGATTCCCCCCCTTAGAAGTCCTTTGGGCATGAAGGCTTTTTAAGGGGGAAAGAGCATGGCTCTGAGCAAATCCACAGGAGTCAAATCCCGACTGTGCAATTTACTAGCAAGTTGCTACACCTCAGACTCAGTTTCCCTGGCTACCAAACTGCATAGGGCTGTTGTGAGAATGAAGACAAAGAATCCAGACGGTGTCCACACTGAGTCTGTCACACAGGATGTGCTTGATACCTGTTGCCATTGTCATCATGGCAGGTACAGAATGTTCACATGGCAGTTAGATTTACCCATCGCTTCCCAGCAGACTATGAGCAGGGGCCATGTCTCACACTCTTTGCCCTAAGTCCTCTGATTCTTGACATCAGAGTTCCCTGGGCTTTGGAAAATCACAATCCTGTAGGATTTCAAAACAAGACTTGGGAGCTGACACAGATTTTTCAAAGTAAGGAGAGTTAAAAAGTCAGTTCTTAATCTATTGCTGCCATAATAAAATCTTTGAAAATCATAATGCCAAATTATTGGGAAGCATACAATAAAATGATTTTTAAAACGTGTTATACAGACCTAGCTTTGTGTTAACTATGCCCCCTTTCTCTCTTTCCAAAGCAGACCAGTGGCCACATCACTCTGCAGGGGCGCTGGTCCACGCCCCGAAGTTTGGGAACCTGCTCTGCAAAACAGCTACTTGGTAAATATTTGCTGAATTACTGAACTCCAGCTACATCTCTCTGAGCAGGCCTGGGCCTGCAGCCCGAGGTGCCAGGGCGTGAGCCAAGGGGGTAGCATTCTTCAGTCCTGCCCATGCTCTGCGCTCACACCACGCCGGGAGGCCCTTTGCATGGAGGCACGGCTGGCGGCGTGAGCAGACTTGCCTTTGAATCTGTTCCACCAGGGACTCTGTCTCTGAGCCTTAGCTTCCTCATCTATAAAGGGGGGTGGGGGGACTGAGGACCTACGGGGTGCAGTACAAGGTGTCTGGCACACAGAAACCTCCAAGTAAGGGTGAGATGCCACCACCGCCTTCCATATGGGGTGGGGTGGTACAGAGTGGCCGGGAGCCATCTACCCCGACGAGTTCAGAGGACCGAGACTGCTGCTCACCTGTTCGAGGTGATAGTGGTCCGTGGGATATGGGTCGTGGAGGTGGCCCAGGGTATAAATCCTCCGGTGCTCACAGGATGTGGGCGAGGAGATTGTCCGAGTAGGTTGTTCCCTCTTCTGAGAGGAATTAGAAGAACTGTCTGTAGCTGTCTGTTTAGAGGGAGGTAACCAAGAGTTAATTTGAAAAAACAAAAACCAAACCCACACATCAAACCCTAACATGCTGTCTGCCCCCACTTGTGGCATCTTGCCGGACTTCCCGAAATCTCGAGTTTATCCTGGCTGTGGGAGGTGGGAGGACCCCTGAGGGGCGAGATTGTCTAAACACGATGTGGCCGCCAGACCCTGAAAGTTGGGTTTGTTTTCTCAAATGTGGGAGCAGTGACCAGGCTTTGGGGACGGGCTCACTACAGCAGGCCTCCCGCTGGTGCACCCTGGTTTGATCAAGAATGGTCATCTCCGCTGCAGCCCTGGTTCCGAGGTACTCTGGCAAGCAGGCGAGGTGCAAAAATCAAACCCAAACATCTATGCGGGGCTAATCCCGGCCTGAGAGACTCAAGAGACAAGGAGACCTTGTTGTATCCTGGCTACTGGCTTTCCAGAAATAAATTTTGTAGGAAGAAATCTTTGGGTTGGAGGCAAGCTTTGGGGTTCACTTTAAACTGGAAGCAAGATGGAGGACTGCACGGGGGGGGGGGGGGGGGGGATGAAGGCCACGGTCAGCGGAGGTGGCGAGTGCAGAGCTGTTTCCCAGCAGAGGCGCCAGGTCAGACTGGAGCCTCCCTGACGGTGTCACTGGAAGGTGATCAGATATCAGGATGGACTGTGGCCAGAGCACAGGGGGCCCCACTGCCTCCCAATATACCTACCACCTAGGTGCTTCATGCTCCCACCTATGACTCAACGAAGGGGCCGGGTGCTTGTCACTCTCCACAACCCCTCCCCACAAGCCACACACTCATAAAGGACTTTTGTTAAATGCAGCTGGCAACCACCTTTAAAACCAGGGCCCCCCACCTTTCACCTCCATAGTCGGGGACCCTCCCCCAGACGGATGAAAAGGTTTTCTGGTATCTAGGTGCCCTGTTTCTGACAAATATCTAGGAACTCCTTCCTCCTTGGCTGGTGCTCCTATATTCCCCTTATCTCATTGGCTTATTGATCTTTCACATCACATGTCTTTGTGTCATAAGTCCTTTTGGGGGCAAGGCAGGTTAAAACAAGTTATAACTTTTTACCCCTCTTCCCATTTATAAAGTAATAAATGCTCAGGAAAATGGGACTACAGGATTTAGGAAAAAGAAGACTCATTCTCATAATGCAACAAACTGCTGGTACTTTTTAAAACTTGGTGGACATGTGCAGCATCCCTTTAGGGACCCAACCCTCCTGGATTTTTCTAACTGGTTTGGTCCAAGTGATGGGCTGATGCCTCTTTCCAATCCCACCGCCCACAGCGACTACTGCAGATGTGGTCCTCTCAGGCAACACACAAAGATTTTTGACAGAGGTCAGAAACGATGCTGTCTTTTTATCTTGTTAAGACCTAAGGGTTCCATAAGCCTGGAATCATGGTGAGGGCAGGGGAAGGACCTTCTGAGGTAAAGCAAAACCAAGGTGACCCCCATGGACACCAGCTGAGCTTCTGGGTCCAGTCAAGTGAAGCCAGATCCACGCTTTGGAAACTTCAGCCAGTTGTGTTGGGTTCACCCCGTGGACCATGATGCATTTCTCCTCACTCCCGATTGGCTCTGAGGCGGTACCTCCGCCTGCGTCAGGGCCCTGGCCTCTCTGTGACCCTCATTCCTCTCTGCAGTGGGTGGAGTGAAGGGGGCGTGCAGTCTACCTTGCTCCTCTGCCTCTTGGGAGCCGCCCAGCTGGCAAACAGCACGCGCTGGCAGCCGCTCTTGGGACTGCGCGGCCCACTGTGGGGAGGCGGGGAGACCCAGCACCCTGTGCCGGCGGGGGTCCTGAGATGGCCGCTTCCTGCGGGTGTAAGCCAGGGCCACAAAGGGTCTCCTAGCTCCTACCCCTCCTCAACTGGTTCAGAACTCAGATAGGGAAGAATTACTGTTAAATCCCAGTAACTGAAAGAGACCAAGCTGATACACATGCATTTTTCTTCTTCCCAACTGCCAGTCCTCCAGTTCTCACTCTGACAAACATGGGTCGTTGTGGAGCAGACAGAACAAAGCTAAGAGCTCTCAACAGTCTCCCGTGGTGTGAGTACATACACTGTGCCAGGCCCTGGGTACCTGTGAATAGGTCACAGGTCAAATATCATCTCCACAGCACGCACGGGAAAAGACTCCGAGGAGGCAGGGCCCTGCTGACTGGCAGGCAGCCTCTGCAGGCCTGGGGTGAAATGCAGCCCGACCACCAAGCCCCCTGGACTTCGGTACCCACGTGGCTGCTTCTCAAGCTCAGGTGAGCCCATTCCGGTGCCTGCTCCCAGAGGCACTGTGTTAACCTCCACCCAAGCACGACCTCTCCAAGTAAGAAGGTGCACCCTGCTTGATACAAACCCAGGAGATAAGGGGATGACATCTCACAATACAAAGGTTTCCAAAGATTTCAATAAATAGTTCCTGAATGACCCCTTCAGTATGACTCAAATCTCAAGGGTTAAATTCTTATCCAACACCCACGATGGTCATCTCTGAGGTCAGAAGCTACTCTTATATTGAACACGGTAATCACACACACAGGGTTTAGTTCTCAGAAACCAGTTATCACATCATGGTCACTTCTGTCTTAGTCAGCTGTCACCCTAACCCAGCCCACATCCAGGTTAATGTGTAGAAAGTCATTCTGGGAAATGAGGCACACCCAGTTCTTCCAGCATTCATGAGCCAGTCAGAAAGGCCCCCATCCACCTTCCTGGCCCCAAACAGCCCTTTCCCACTGCAGAGAGTCAAGTGAGAAGCTTCTCCTAACCTACGGATGGATTTGCACAAAGCAGCAGGAAAGCCAGAAACGGAGAGGTCTGCCCACAGTTCACCACCTCCTACAGGCTGTGCTGAGGGTACGGCCTAGCCCAGCCCACAGCCTTCCCCCTGAACTGCTCTGCATGGGTCCGGACTCGGGAAAGGAGAGCCTGCCAGAGAGGCTGCGCAGGAAGCCGAGGCTCGGTTCAGATCCATACTATCAGACAAATCTTACAAAGCGGCAAGTGTGGCCTACAAACTAGAGGACTGTCCTATCAGGTCAAGAGTGAGGGGACTCACCTCCTACCCACACACACCTCTGACCTAACTCTGCTCCTGGTTTCCACTCATAGCTGGAGGGCAGCAGCCACCTAAGCTGTGCGCACAAGCTCTTGCTCCTACTGACCTGACAGCTTCACCTTTGACTCGGAAAGATTCCAGCTGTGTTTTAAACTTGCCTTGCTCTCTGGAGGGTGTCTTTGAACTGTTGCAGGTTTGAACTCAAGAACAAAGGCAGAGGGTCTTTTGCAGCTACTCTGTGTTTGGGGAGCTCAGCCTCCTAAGAGGGACAGCTTCGGCAGCAGGCCCCCCGAGCCTGGGAGCAGTCAGAGCGAGCCTGCGGTGCGGCCTGCTGCAGACAGCAGGGCCGGGCGCTGCACCTTCGTGACGCAGTCTAGCCTCCAAAACTTGCCTCTGGGTTTCAGTTTGACTCGAACTCAACGTTAGTGTCCATGATGAAAAAGATGTCCAATTAAGAAGTCTGCAACTTAACGTGAGGACCGAACGGAAGAAATGCAGTGGAGTACGATGATGTTAAACAACAGGGTCTCAGCTCAGGCAGACTGGATTTGAATCATTCTCTGCTAACTATAAATTGTGTGATTTTGGTCAAGTTAACCCTCTAACTCCAGTTTTCACACCTGTAAATGGAGCTAAAACTGTCCTCAGCATTATTGCAAAAATGAAATGAGATTAAACATTTCCCACTTTTTTCTAAACCGTTGTTGCTGATTACAGAAAAGTTACTGATTCTGTTGATCCTGTATCTGGTTGCCTTGCTTAACTCCTTATAAAAGCGCAAAGAATTGCCCAGCTGGTGTGGCTCAGTGGTTGAGCGTCGACCCATGCACCAAGAGGTCACCAGTTTGATTCCCTGTCAGGGCACATGCCCAGGTTGTGGGCCTGATCCCCAGTGGGGGGCGTGTAGGAGGCAGCCAATCGTTCTTGCTCATTGTTTCTATCTCTTTCTCCCCCTCCCTTTCTCTCTCTCTCTCAAATCAATAATAAAAAAAAATATTAAAAAAAAAAAGCTCAAAGAATATACCCAGTGACTCTGGATTTTTCTCAGTAAATCATATCACCCACAAAAGATCATCTGGTCTCTTTTCCAATATTTCACCTTCTTTTTCTTGTCTTATTGCAATTTTTGCCAAGGTTTCCAGCATGATGTGGAAAAAACAGAGGTGACAGTGGCCCTGCTTATCTTTATTTAAAAGGATTTATTCTTTTTTAAAAGCACTTTAAACATTTTTATTTATAGATTTTAGGGAGAGGAAGGGGAAAGGAGGAGGGAGTGAGGGAGTGAGAGAAAGAAACATCAACCTGTTGTCCACCTCATTTATCATTTATTGCTTGATTCTTGCACGTGCCCTGACTGGGGATATAACCTGCAACTTGGTCTACAGGGACGACTCTCCAACCAACTGAGCTATCCGGCCACAGGTGGCCCTGCCTGTCTTGTACTTGACTCTAATGGGACAACTTCCAACGCTTCTCCATTAAAATGATATTTCTCTGTAAGTGGAGTGATTCTGAAGTGAAGTTCCAAATGTGTCCTTGTCTCCTAGATGACTCAGAGTTCTCACCAGAAGATGTTAGATGTCACCAGATGCTTTTTTTCTGTATCTACTGAGATGATTACATCGTCTTTTACCTTTAATTTGTTTTATTAATGGATGAATCAAACAGACAGCTTTCCCAATATAAACCATCTTTGCAAGCTGGGATATATTATACTGGGCTTTCATTAAATTTGTTTTTACAAATATTTGATGTGATTTGTTAATATTTTACTTAGAAACTTTGTATCCAGAGTCATAAGTGAGCTTGGTTTCTGTTTCTCCACCTGAGCAGTCCTTGCCCATGACCCTCAGTGGGGTCATGCTAGTCTTCTAGACTGAGCTAGGCAGCTTTCCATGTCTCCTATGCTTTGGAACAAAAATC